TCGTTAAAACCCTGACATACTCTTCTCTATTATCCACTCTTGATTATATATATATATATATAATGGACATGTTATATCGGCCTGTGCGCCAATTCATGACAATGGTAAAAAAAGCACAAGTTACAGTTCTACAATATTTTCACAAAAATGTTGTACCATGGCAACGATGACTCCGCCACACCAAAAACGATTGCCGTTTTCGCTTTACCATAACGCACCTTCATGCCAATTGAAGATGATCCGAGATCGGGTTAAAAACTGCCCACCAGGTCACTTCGACCTTTATTTCACCTTTACCTTGACCTTGCATTATTTCTCTTCTGCTCTCTAACTCAGCCCCTAATTGACCTAGCGCCAGGCTTTCAGATTTGGAAAGTACAGGAGGACTACTAATGACTCCCTAGGACACCATAGGGGTTCTTTTCACGCTCCATAATCACACCCTTAAGAGGCATGATGAGAGCTCCACTAAAAAAATCACACCCTTAAGAGGCATGATGGAGAGCTCCACTAAAAATCACACCTTAAAAGGGATGATGGAGAGCTCCTTGAGGGTCTCCATCATGCCTCTTAGGGTGTGATGATGGCATCATGACCAATCCTCAGTCTAGAGTGAAATCCAAAACGAAAAATTGGGATGTCATGAGGGTGCCGATGGGGTTAGCGTGAAGCGTGAAATGGCCATATATTTTAGCGTTAGCGTGAAAAATCATTTTATTTTAACGTCAGCGTGATTTTTGGCCTGGCGTGACTCGTGATTCCCCTCTAGAAATTAGCGTTAGCGTTGAAACTGTCTATTTTTTTACATGAAACGTGATAATAAATTTAATGTTTAGCGTGAATACGTGTTATCTTCGAATTTAAAGCAGATTTGAGCCTTGTCGGATCTTGTCGGGCGGTGCGCGCCGCGCCATCTTTGCAGTTTTGATGTACACGCAGACATGAGGAACCAGCTGTATTCATTGTTTGACAAGTTATCTCCCCGTATAGCTGCGGTCCCGTCTGTGTATATATAGCGATTATGTGTAACTGTAATATCCTGTAACACCATATTGAGTACGGTATACATACTGCGGGGCCTAATTGTCGACAGCTTGGCGGGAAATCTAAAATGGCGACGGACCCGGTCGTGAAAGTGATTGTCGGCTATTTTGATGGCGAAGGCAAGGAGCCAGGACAGCCAGTTGAGCGCGTACGATCGCAAGTTTATTTTAACACATGACAATCTCGGGGATTTTAAAAAGCACCTGACAGTGTCATATTGGCTTGCATGAGCATAAATTATTCTCTCATAGATTGAAAAGGAGTATATGTATTCAAGTATATTAATATTGAACAAATATGAAAATGATAATTTTCTTGTATGAAGGTCCTATATTAATCTGTTGCACTGTATACGAAAAATTTTAGTGAGAAATGAAAATATGTACTGAGAAAGAGAAATTGGCCAAATTTATTACTGAGAAATGAGAAAAGGCCTAAAAATTTACTGTTTACTTGAGAATTGGGGTACCCCATCAGGACCCTCTGTCATGTCAATCTACTGATTATCATTCATCTTTCACATTCATTCATTCAATGGCTTCGTCAGATTACATTCTTTTCATCCAACAACCCAACACTAGCACACAGATTAATAAAAGAGTTGATCGGATGTAAAAATAAACTTGTTTTATTTATTTTTGATTTCCATCCTTAGAGATTCTAATCCATTGTACTGCATATTTCAGCATAAAATATCATCACAATCCATCAACAAACTAGCGATTACTTACAAGTACGTAGTAGCCACGTATGTAGCCCCTCCAGCCCTACGACTGTTTCACGTCGCAGAAAGCCACTTCTCGCCACGTATAGTAGAAAACGAGCAGGTAACTTGTGGCTACCGTATAGGTACCTGTATTTGGATGCTGTTGTTTAGTTGTATTTATATATATATATAAACCAGAGGGTAGTAACCAGCTGTACCTCTGCCATACGTTCAGTTACTTACACACCACAAATTGTTGTGTTGCTAACCTTTTTGTACCCCCTACATTGAGAACTCTATGAAGCGCTATTTCAACATAATAGACATACTTTTGGTGCGCGTTTCAACCACTTTTATGAGGCGCGATGATGCGCGCACCATTGCACAATTTCGGTGTGCGCGGTGGAGCGCCGAGCGCGATCGCGCCCCTTAAAAATGAAAGCCTGTAGCGCGACCAAACTTGGTATGCTTACACATCTTGGGAGAAGGTCAGTCGCATACCAAAACCACCACTGCCCTTCACCTTAGTTTGACCTTTACCGTCGACTTACATTTCCTTTTCGGCCTCCTAGGTAACCAGATTCCATATACTTGCCAATCTGAGGCACACCAGTTTTCTAACAAACCTTTGTCTTTGTGACTTATTTAACTTTACCTGCGTTCTTACGTCCTTACAGAGATATTCTATTCATACTAGATCACGGGGGATACATGTAGTTGGCGACAACTGCTCGTTTCTAGTTTAGCATTGAAGTTATTGCAGGCCCACTAATATTTTCCCAGATATCACAAACTATTGTGCGCGACTCGCGTGGCGGGCTACTAACACATGTTTTGAAGTATACTTCACACTTTAGACTTTTCGTTGAACGCTATAGAGGGTTCCGTGACTGCACTAAAAATAGCAATATTACCTACAATCCCGTGCCGCCGGCCATACCGGTTCCAAAAGAGCGAACATGTGTTGTGTGTAATCTGCCGATCTGCACAATCAACCGATTTTACATTGGCTAATGGCTATAGTGTTATTTATTGCCAATAGATATTAGCAGTAAGTGAATCCCGATTTTGCACAGGTTTATCAGCTGGTTTTAATGGTGCTAGTGTTCGAGATGATTGTGCAGACCCGGTTAATGGGCGCCGGTTTTACAGGTGGTGCAGGCAGATTATCAGCGTGGGTTGTGTTAATTGCTAGAGTTCGATGAGAT